ATTCAAAGTCGGGCAAAATGAAATCCTATCGTTGAGGGATGAGTCCCTGTGGGTAAATCCACAAAAAGAAGCTTGTAAATTAGCATCACAAAAGTAGGAATAGCTGGTACCACCTTTAGGGAAAGAGGGAGGAGAGGGGTCTGCGTTCTGGAAGGGGCCTGCGGAGAAGGGCTGCTGGGGAACTGGCACCCCCTGTTTCTTGCCTAGAGAGGGGGGTTCCATCTGTGTTCACTTTACAATCTTTCCTTAAATTGTACGTGTATGTTTCATGTAGTCTTCTGGATATGATCTATCCTACAATTTAAAAAATGTCAATGTCTCTGAAATCCACAGGAATCCACCCAAAATTAAAACAGTAGCCTCGGAGATCCACTGCCTCAACTTTATAAGTAAGGAGACCAAAGCCCAGAAGAGTTACAGGCTTGGTCTAGGTCACAGAATGTGTCACCCTTCGAAGCAGGACTAGAATGAGGTCCAACAACTTTTAACTCGGTGTTCCTGCACTGCCTTCTGTTTCTCTCAAGAGTCTTCTCTGTGGGATGGCTTTTTAAGCCTGGAAGTTCCCTTGTTTGGGGAAAAAGAAAAAAAAAAAAAAAGTGAGTTAGTAGGTTGATATAATGAAGAGCTGATACAAACTCGGCAGTTGTAGACACTTTTCCAAACGGAATTTTAAAAGATTCCAATATGTCCTTCCAAAGGCACATCATTGTAGCGATAACACTGCGAAAAAACAAATACCAGAGAACTCTGGCCACTCTGAAATGCAGAGCTGCACTCTGGCTCCATCTGATTTACAGATGGTATCAGGATGAAGGGCTGGAAGGGGCTGGGGAGGGGGGAACAGGAAGGACAGGGAGCCAGGAAGTCTGCAATTTTATTGACTTATCCACCTGGGCTAGGTGAGACCCCTAGCCCTGGGACAGTCAGGAAAGGGACCTCTGCTATCTCTCTGAGAGCTTTTTTGTTTTGTTTAGAGGTCAATTACTTCCCATTTGGGAAATTTGTGAACATTAAGAGGTGACTGGAGTGACGGGCCTGAATGATGCAGATAAGAGCTGATTGCTTACTGAGCGCCTCCCCGGTGAAAGCCCGGCCTGGGATAAGCCCGGGACCCTAAGACGTACACACAAAGGGGCAGCTTTCAGTGCGCAGGAGAGATTACACGATGGAAGATGGGCAACTTGGGGGGTGGGGTGGGCATGATGAGCTGAGAGACAGATCGTTTTAAAGTGATCTTGACAGGCAGAAAGTGGAGAGATGGGAGGAGAGCATTTCCCTCCCCTCCCCTCTCCTTTTGGAAAGAAATTGTTGGTGCCCGGAGAATCTCAAACGTCCAGGCTCTCCTCTGAAGAGAAAGCCATGCATATGCACAAGGTTTTGTTAGTTTAGTTTTTTGGGGTTTTTTGTTTGTTTGTTTATTCATTGAGACCAGCAAGTGTGGATGCTACAAATATCTGGAGAACAGAATAGAAAATGTCACAAATCAACAGAACCTCTGAAGGATTTTGACCTAAATGAGAGGAACCCCCCCCCCCCGGCCGCCGCCCACATGCCTTCAGCAACTGGATGCAGTTTACAAATTCCCAGAAGCTAGCATTGAATTGTATTTGAGACTCCTGTAAAATAGAAACATGGCTTTGGCATGTGCCCACTTCACTTTTCTCCGTTCCTAAGTCTTCGACCTTTCCGGAACCTCTCCCAGGAAACAGTGTCATTCCCACACTAATCACCAGGCCTAATCACCTCCTGCGGGCACCCAGTTCCTTCCCCGCCCCTTCTCCATCTTTCTAGAGGGGCATATTTTCTGTCCTACTTGACACGCAGCAACTACCACCGTGTATTTTTAGATACATTTCTCATGTTAGTCTCCGGTATCCAGTTAGATAATACGGTTTTTCAGAGCAGCAGCAAATCTTACTTCCTTTTGTAGCCCTTCCAGAAATGTTTGGCGATGACTGAGTTACTGACCTGACGATTGAGCCAAGTCCCCTTCCCCTTCACTCACAGCCTAAAACCAAGCCCTGGCTCTTCCTCCTGTGTTTTTCCATGCTGTACAAAGTGCGAGGGGAGTAAGGCCTACTCAGAACATCACATGTCTGCCAACTGCTTCTTGGGTTACTTTCCTATGTTAAAAGGGGCACACGGGTAAAGAAACTAACATTTATTAGTTTTCTACTCTGTACCCGGGACTTCGCCAGATCTGTGGGTGATGAGCTACACTTCGGGGATAAGGACCTTACCCAAAGAACAGCAACAAAGGATTTTTTAAAATTACCATGTAGTACTTTAGAATCTGATCTTGGGGGGCGTCTGGGTGGGTCAGTTGTTAAGCGTCTGCCTTGGGCTCAGGTCTTAGTCCCAGGGTCCTTGAATCGAGCCCCACATTGGGCTCCTTGCTCAGTGGGGAGCCTGCTTTTCCCTCCCCCACTCCTCCAGCTTGTGTTCCCTCTCTCGCTGTGTCTCTCTGTCAAATAAATAAAAATAAAATCTTAAAAAAAAAAAAGAATCTGGGGCGCGTGGGTGGCTCAGTCAGTTAAGCCTCTGCCTTTGCCTTGGGTCATGATCCTGGGGTCCTGGGATCGAGCCCCACATCGGGCTCCCTGCTTGGTGGGGAGCCTGCTTCTCCCTTTCCCACTCTCCTTGCTTGTATTCCCTCTCTCCCTGTCTCTGTCTGTCAAATAAATCAATAAATAAAATCTTTTTTAAAAAATCTGATCTTGGAAAAATGTAACACAACTCACTTAACAACAGAGCTAGGCACATGGTTACTTAGTAGAAGCACTGAACAAAGAGTCACCTGTCATAAATGTAAGCCTGGTGTTCACAGACACTTTCCTCTTGTAAGAATACCTCGCCCCCCCACACACACACCAGGGCGCCTGGGTGGCTCAGTCCTTAAGGCTTTGCCCTCGGCTCAGGCCATGATCCCAGGGTCTTGGAATTGTGAGTCCCGCATCTGGCTCCCTGCTCAGCGGGGAGCCTGCTTCTCCCTCTCGCTGCCCCTCTTCCAGCTTGTACTCTCTCTCTCACTTGCTCACTGTCTCGCAAAAAAAAAAAATCTTTAAAAAAAAAAAAAAAAAAGGAATGCCATCTCAAAGCGAAAGAGGGATGGTCTTTTCCTCATGATGGAGATTTTACCTATAACCCCTATTTTTTTTTAAACCTTATCTTAATTGACTAAGGAATATTTATTGACAGTTCCAGATTTAAAGTCTACATACTGGAGTGCCTGGGTGGCTCAGTCGCCTTCGGCTCAGGTCATGATCCCAGGGTCCTGGATCGAGCCCTGCATCAGGCTCCCTGCTCCGCGGGAAGTCTACATACTGTCCTTTTTAACCTCAGGAGCACAGCACTAACTATAATTGCAAGACAGTGTAGGGGTATTTCTAACCGTATTTTTATTAACAGCAAAAATAGAGAAAAGGATGAGAATGAAAAGGAGAGGAAATGTAAGGAAATGGTAGTAAAGAAGAAGAATGGTACTCTTGTTTTTAGCTTAAGCACATAAAATTTAAGAGATGAAAGCTTTCCATAGTCAGGTGTAGTTTACAAAGAACCAAGGAGTCTGTTTTCCCACATCGGTGAAAACAACCAGGACATATTCAGAAATGAGCAAATGCGGGACGAGTACATTTTGATTAAATATTCAAATTTATTAAATAGAATTTATCTTTTGGTGAGTTAGTGGTGGAGGGGTAAAGAACCAGAGTTTTCATCATCTAAAAATATTGTCCAGGAGAAAAAAAGAGCCTGGTTTCCCTACTAGTGCCTGCCAAAGACAAATGTATTTGATCCCTTGTTTCCCTTAATAAAATGAGCTTGTTTTCAGTCTTCAATGTGCATAACTTCAAACATATTTGGGGAGGGAAGTCATAATTTCCCTTAAAATTCAGGCGTCCTACCCCTGGTGTTTGACATATGGACATAGGGAAGCCTTCTTTCCTGATGCGCAATTAAGACAAGGATTATGTTCTGAAAGAAACCCTGCAGAGGGAGAGGGGGCTGTGGGAGAAGAAATCAGCTAACGGATCTCCAGGGCTCCAGCCATTTCGTTTCCCCAGGGACTCCGATATGTCCCGAGGAGTCAGAACTTCTGGGCTTCATTTTTATTTTAATTCGCGGTCATGTAGGAGGTAAGTAGAGGTGGAGATATTATAGTGGCCTACACACATGGACACACACAAATATATGTAGGATATTTACTCAAGGTGCTGAGGTGTGTACACGGGATAAAATGCAGTGATCGTGAAGGGGAGAACCAGAATGTACAGGATACCTTCCCAGAGAGCTACCGCGTCCTGGGAGAATGAAGGAGGACTCCTCGGAGAGCAGCCTGGGGCCCCCGGGGGGTAGGGAGGAGGAGAAAATGGGGAAGGCGGGAAGGGGAGAGGAAAGGGGAGAAGGGGGGGAAAGGGGAAGAGGAAGAGGGAGGGGCGGTTTACTCTCCCAGGAGGGCTCGGCTCACACAATAGTCTCTCTCCCAGACCTCCTGGATCCTCTCCCCACCCCCCACTCCCGCTCTTCACGCGAGTTCCCACACTTCACTCCGCTACTTTTTACATTCATTCCCCAACCTCTAGACTCTAATGGAGGATCGTGAGCCTCTAGGGCACCCCACCCCCACTCACAGCCCCCCTCCTCCGGGCCAGGCCCCCGGGCTGCTGCACACAAATTAAAGAGTTTATTAGCAAACCCTGGGTTTGAGGCCCGACAGTCACCAGCCTCGGCTATTGCTCCGACACCCGAAACTGCCAACTACCCTATAGACTTTCCTTCCTCCCACTGCTGCCCCGTGCACTTTAGGTCCCTGGAGAGAGGAATGTCCCCAGTGCCTCAGCGGGATGGCCTGTTGGGGGCAATTCGAAGTTCAGGGATTGCTAAGGGAGAAGTACCATCGGGTCGCCTATTCCCTCCGCCGCCGCTCATCCAGACCGAAGCCGGTATGCGGAGAGGCTGGGACGGAGCCCCAGGACACGGTGGGCGGACGGGGCCCAGGCGCCTCACCAGGCCCTGACACCCTGCAGCGCGGCGGGCAGAGGACTCTGCGGGCTGGCGCTGGGGCCACCCACAGCGAAGCCTGCGCGGGCCAGAGGTGCGGGCGGCACGGGACCCGGGGGCGCACCAGCGTAGCCACCACCGTAGCCGGCGCCGAAAGGAGCGCCCGCGTAGCCGCCGTAACAGGAATAGGGCGCCGCGGCCGCGCTGTAGGGGCCGGAAAAGGCCGGCGCGCCGGGGCCCAGGCAGGGCTTGCCATCCCGCACAAGCACGGGCACCGCCACCCGGCGCGGCGCTAGCGGGTGGCCCGCCAGTTCTAGGGACTTGTCCTGGCGCTGTCTCTTGCACTTGTAGCGCCGGTTCTGGAACCAGATCTTGACCTGCGTAGGCGTGAGCTGCAGCGCGCCGGCCAGGTGCTCGCGCTCGGGCGCTGACAGGTACCGCTGCTGCTTGAAGCGCCGCTCCAGCGCCAGCACCTGCGCCTGCGAAAAAAGCACGCGCGGCTTCCGCCGCTGCCGCGCCTTGGGCTGCTCGGTGCTGTCCCCGCGCGTGCCGATGCCAACGTCGCCAACGCAGCGCTCCGGCCCCCTGGTCCCGCCGTGGAGGGGCGGGGCTGCGCTAAGGCCCGGCTCTAAAAGCACAGGAAGGAACAGCGTCAGCGTCCAGCCTCAGGCTTACCTGAGCAAATGTTGCGTTGTTTTTCAGGGGCTCCCCTCTCCCCTGGTAGCCTTCACGTCGCGTCCCCTTCGGTCCTCTCTGCTGGCCCCTCCCCACCGTCCCAGGAGGTCTGTAGGTTCCTTTCCCCCAAGCCCTGTCACGATTGTCCCTGCAGGCACATACGTAAATTGTGACATTCTAGGGTCTCCGGTGTGCGGCCGTTTCCTAAAAGGTAGCTGATCTAAGACAACTCCATTTTCTTCTTAGAATGTATGTGTATAGGTTGGGTGTGGGTGATTCGCTGTGATTCGATTCTAAAGTGTGGTTGAGTTTGGGAGAGTTTTTGCCGCAAGGACCGAGTGCAAATGTGGGGGACTATTACATGGAAATTGACTTTGGACTGCCCTTGGTGGAAAGAAGGGGTGTAGAAAGGGGGAGAGATCGAGATAGAGAGAAAGCGAAAGCGCTAAAACTTGGCGACGCGCTTGCCCGTGGGTTCCTGTCTGCCTGGTTATCTGTGGTGGTCCTGCACGCATCACCGGGTATTCTCATCCAAGCTCAGGGGCGGGTGTCCTGAGTATCTTCCACCTTCATCCCACCTTTGCACACACCCTTGTCTTTTTGGTTGTCAAGTGCACCGGCACCAGGGACCTGTCCCATCTTTCTTAGATGTGATGCTCTGTAAATTAGCAAAATAAAGGTGAACCAAATATTTTCCTGACTCTTAATTCTTGGCTCGGAAACTGAGTGTCCCTTGGAGGCATATACAAAGTTTAGATCCACATTTGACTTCTTAAAAAGCGGCCTCTTTCTCCTTTGGGTTGTCTTTGGTAAGCAGGTGGCATTGGTTTCGCTCTGACTTCCTCTTCCCTGGGGTGGTGTCCTACCCGGTCACCCCGAGATGGCTGTCTGAAGCCCACTGAAATACAGCCTTTCCTTGCCTTCTTCCCACCTCTCTTCTGTCTTGGCTAAACTGTGTTTTAACCCAAGGGTGGGTAGAGAGGAAACGCTGAGTTTTCATGGGAAGGCACGCCAGGAGAAACCAGGAACTTGGAGTGGCTGTAAGTTCATGGTCAGGCGACGCACCTAATTAGAGAAGGTGCGGGTTGGAAACTGACTTCAAATCCCCAACCCCAGTGGCACAATTTCCTATGAGCAGGTGATGGGGCTCTTTGGTATTTGAAGTTTGAGGAAATGAAAACTTTCTTCAGACAAGCCAGTGCTCAGAGAAACTGAGGCCATCTCTTCTCTCAAAGAAGAAAAATATGCACTGGGGTTTTATTCTTAGCAAATGAAAAAGTTGCAGCTGACCTTCAGCAACTCTCTGGAACTAGCAGGACCCCATTTGAGAGTCGCTGACCAGGCAGGCCATGCGGCTGCGGGGCGCCCTCCTGGTCACTGTCTGGAGCCCCTCTCGCCCTGTGTCCTTGAAAGCAAGTTGGTTTGGCTGGGAACAGATGGGTGCATTGCTTACCAGGAAGGTTCGATCATTGCGGGTGGCCCTGGGCTTGGTTCCTGGAGCTGGGCGTGGGTCCCTTCTGGGTGTCCAGGGCAGCCGCTTAAGAGATGTTGCTCAAAGTTCGCCAAAGGAGGAAGGCGCTGTGTGAGCCTTCAGCTGCTAGGTGACAGCTGTGGGCCAAGGACTGTGACCCTTTCTCAGCAAGGTCAGAGTGAATGCGGAGCTGGCTGAGCATCTCCGAAGGCATTAGTCCACGCAGAACACCCCCAGACTTCTCTGCGAACACAGCCAAGTCCAGTGTTCTCCAGCCTCCTGCAGTAGATAAATAACGAGGCTACTCGTCGAGGAACAACCGCAATCTAACCCTTTACTTACTCGTTGCGCCTTAAATGGATGGGCAGCAGCACAGCCTGGCAGGGGAAGGCCGATCTGCGAGGCCTCCCTGGGGCTCCCCGACCGGCACCAGGAAACTGTAGACGGAGGTGCAAAGGTTTGTCCAGAGGTAGAGTGGCTTTTTCATCCCTCCGAAGGTCGAGACTCTTCTGCGGAAGTTTCCTGGGTCGCAGGACACAAGGCAACACAACTCACTGACGGCTCCTTCCCTTCCTGCGGATGGACGAAGGGGCCGGGAGCTCGCTGTACGCGCCGCCAGGGTTGTGTTTTCGGAGAGCGGGCGCCCAGACTCCCCGGAGTCCTCTCCCAGAGCAGCGAAACCGGAGCTCCCCTTCTATGCTCCCAGACGCGGAGGATTGGCCGTCCAGGCCTAGGGACTCAGATATTAACTGATCCGGTCGCCACTCATTGTCCGGACCGGGAGTCCGGGCGGAGGATTGACTGCGCTGGCCAGGCCACTTAGCAAGCCCCAAGAAAGGGCTGCGATTGACCCCAGAGCCAGCCAAGTTTCCACTCCCTGGCAGTAGGTTGCTGTGATGGCTACACTTCTGGCACACGCTTTAGGGTAGAGAGACGCGGACGTTGGCAGGAAAGTCTGGTGGTGGTGGAGCACAGCTAAGATACTGTAGAGGGCTTCTCTGTAGGAAAGAGGAGCTGGAACTCTGGGAAGTGTGGCTGGCTGCGAGAGGGCGTGATGCGTTTTTAGGAATCAGAGAACAGGCTGTGGAAATTATGAACGCCTAAGATGCGGGACTTATTTTCTTAGGGACGCGGGAAGCACACTGGGTGTCTGGAGGAGATGGGAAGGGGGGCTGAGAGATCTGCCATTTGGAATCCTCTAATAAGAGAAAATGGGGCTAGGCCTTTGGAGCAGGAAAGACCCGGAGATGCGTGTAACCTGCACGCGTCAGCTGGTAGTGATGATGCCCTCAATAGCCATGATCTCCTTGTAGGAGCCAAGACCTGAGCACACGTACTCACCTGGCTCCCCGACCCGTTCTGCGTCCATGTCCGTGACTGTCTCACAGGGACCACCAGGAGACCCCGACTCGTCCTGCCTTCTGCCGCTGTCGCCGCCGCCGGCCCTGCAGGTGCTGGGAACCTCTGCCTTTCGCGGTTCTGGAACCAATCGCAGACACTGAAAGCTTTCAGGGATCCTCCGTGTCCCCCGGAGTTGCAAGGACTCGGAATCAATCTGCTCTCGCTCCAGCCTCAGGATGTCATTGACCGAGAAGGGGGTGGAGGCGACAGGGTTCAGCAGCATTCCAAAGGCGGAGGAGGCGGGGGTGGGGTGGCCCCGGTCCCCCAGGAGCCCAGCGCCCGGAGCTCCCCGTCTTGGCGCTGCAGGCGCCGCAGACCCGAGGTCTGGGGCAGACGCCCAGTATCCAGCACTGCGCCTTTCTCTGGGCCATCCCTGCCGACGGGGTGACCGAGGCCAAGTGACAAGATCGCTCTCATTGGTCCGGGCAGAAACCACGTGCAAACCCGCACCTTCCTCCCCCAGGAGCTTTCTTGCCGCGCGCTACTAATTCCACTCCAACCCCCAGCCACCCTCGGAAAGGTTTGGTTTGTGTTGCCGGCTCTCAAAAGCAGGGGAAACGGGAGAGAGTGCTGCGCGCTGCCCGTCTCTAGGTGAACACGGTTCAGGCCCGAGCCGCCGAGGTCAATCCCCTGCCCAAAGGGGCTCTCCTAGAGGACATAAGGGCTTGCGGGGTGGAACCCTTGCTCTACAACCGAAGCCTACCCATCGGGCCGGCGTTAACTCAACTTTCCAATCTTCCACCGAGGAAAACTGAGGTGGAGACAGCTGGGCACCCGTGGGATTGAAGGAACACGCTGGAGTCTTAGTGGGCGCAGGGTGGGGGCCCCCCCGCGGTGGGGAGCCGGATCCAGGCAGCCGAGGCTGGGCGGTGGGCAAGCTAGTCTTCACCCGTCGATGCCTATATTAAGCGGAAAACGTCTCACTTAGAGCAGAATCTGGGTCTGGGGATCCCAGATCAGCCATTTCATAGGAAGAGCTTCTCAGCTTGGGGGGTGAAGAAAGGGCTAGGAAGCTATACTGGGTTGGGGGCGCCTCTTTGCCAGCTCCACAGGTGGATGCGGAAAGGTAATAACCCCAGCCCTCTGGAAGGTGCCAGACAGGGGCTCACCTTGCCCTTCTTGTCCCCCAGTTCCTTCTCTTCCTCCTCTTTATTCTCCCTAAAGTTGTTTTCAGCGAACATGCGAACATGCATGTGTCCTGGTGTCCCCTTTCCCCCACCCCCAAGGGGTGGGAAGTTTTGACAAGCATTAGATCTTCAGAAAACCTCCTCTCACAAGGGTGGCACCCAGTGAAGAGAGAGTGGGGGGGGGGCGCCTTGGTGGGTCAGTGAGCTAAGCATCAGCCTTTGGCTCCAAACATGATCTCAGGTCCTAGGGTCCAGCTGGCTTGGGGCTCCCTGCTCAGCAGGGAGCCTGCTTCTCCCTCTCCCTTTGCCATCTCCCCGCTCCCCTGCTTGTGCTCTGGCTCTCTATCTCTCCGTCAAATAAATAAATAAAATCTTTAAAAAGAGAGAGAGAGAGGGAGAAACTGTGTACAGTGGCTATGAACGTGGGGGTGGAGTCAAAATGTCTAGCCCTTGCTCTGGAACACATCAACCGTGGGATTCCGCCAAAGTTTACCTCTGTCAACTTAGGTTTAATTTTAAAATGGAGATAAGAATAAGCCCATCATAGGATGATTGTGAGAATGGAGATAATGTTATGAGACCATCAATGGCCATCCACTGCTCTTGCTCATGCTACCTTGGTTCAATTAAGAAAACATGATTTGAGGTCGGCAACTTAGCACAGACTCTAAGGAGTTTAAAAATATCTTTTAATCAAAATGAGATCTCACTAGAGTTCTTTGGGATTTCAGATCAACTATTTCTTAAATAGATCTTCTTGAGAGAATTCAATATTACAAGAACGGTCTGGGCTTTATTACTACCTGAAAATCCAGATAAGTCTAACTCATCTCCCTAGGCTATGGGCACAAAATTTCTCACAAAATTGCAGCACAACGAACTAATGATTTCTTATACATCATTTCATTTAGTCTTTACATCAAAGCTATACCCCAAGTGTTCCCAGTTTCTCCTTCCTCCCCTTCTTCCTTTCTTCCTTCTTGTCTTCTTCAGTGAGGAGTCACCATCAGAGAGGTTAAGCAGCTCTGAGGTGGCCCAGCTCTCCAACAACAGGGCGCACCAGGAATCTGGTTTTGCGGAAACAGTACACCCCTCAACTTTTTGTCTGAATGATATAAGGCTTTACTCCCCAGAGACCTCGAAATCTTGTGATAACACATACGTTTCTTTAATTTTTTTTTCTGATTACAAAAGTTATTATTCACCCTTTGGGGGGGAATATAAGAAAAGTTGAAAAGAAAACAAGAGTCATCCAGAGGTGACCTACTTCCTTCTTTCTATATCTTTGCATAGGCTTTATGCGAATTTGTATATTTTAAATTTACATCATAAGTGTGTCCAGGACTTCATTAAAGAGTTTTTTACAAATGTGTTTTAAAATTATAATATAATAGTCCATGTTACGGACGATTCATAATAGACTGTGCTTATAGTTTTAGATTGTACCTATTGTTTTTCTGTCACTCAATAAAACTTCAGAGAAGGACGTCGTGCCTTCAACTTTGTCAACGCTTTGGATTATCTCCTCAGGATAAATACCTAGAACAAATATTAATGAATCAAATGTTTTAATGCTCATAAAACATATCCCACGACTTCCTAGAAAAATAGTATGATCGTATCCTCCTCTCTGCAGAGATTTACTAGGACTTCCCAGACACCCGAAAGTGGGCGAGTTTAGAACATTTTCATGTTCACAACATTTCACCGCCCCCTCGGCTCCAGCAGCTTTGCTCAGTGGTGTCCTCGCAAGCTAGGGCCGGGGGCGACCTGGGATAAAGACATCAAGCGTAGACCGCCGGCCAGCACTTATTCCGGGGTGGAATTCTCCCGGTGGACTATCACGCTCTAGGACGCTGGAGGGGGGGAAGAAAAAGACACCTTGAAAGGGTCTTGGCATCAAAGCCCTGAGTTCAAATCCTGCTCTCGGGTTCCAGCTTTGTTCTCCTCTCCTGGTTTGTTAGAGATCTGGGGCACAAACAGTCTTTCTGACCCCTGGCAGTTCGTGCAGAGTCTGCCTTAGGAAAAGGGCGGCTTGGGCTCAGGCTCCCTCATACCCAAAGCAAACCGGACGGAGGTGTGCGGACGGCTTTTGCCCAACAGCGGTGGGGAGAGAGGCTATCCTTCTGTCTCGCCTGTGCCCGCCGCGCAGCCCGGCTGGAGCAAACGTACTGCTCTCCTCTTTTCTTGCTCTCGGCTCGCCCGGGTCTCGCTCTCCCCAAGTCACCTCCAGGACACCCCACGTCCCCGGCCCCGGGACCGGGACCGGGACGCTGCGGTAAACAGCCCGGGCCTCGTCTTCACCCCTTCGTCCTCCTCTACCGCTACAGCGCACTGGGAGCGCCCCCTCGGGAGAGTGGAACTTGTAACGTTCATCTTACGTGCTCCGTCCTTTGCAGCCCCAATAACCACTGCCCCGCGGCGAAAGGGGAACGCGAGCGATCTGGCCACAGGCCAAAGCGGGGGCATCCGGGAGGGGCAAAGAGTAGCTAGGACCTGAGTCAAGAGCGGAAACTGTGAGGAGTTCCCAGCCTCTTAGGCAGGGCCCGGCACAGCCCTGACAGTGCACTGGGGGTGGTGTGTGTGTGTGTGTGTGTGTTCCCCGTTCCTAGCTCAAGGGCAGAGAAGTGGTTCATCTCTATTCTTTTTTTTTTTTTTTTTGTTTGTTAAGTAGGCTCCATGCCTCGCAGGGAGCGGGAGTAGGGGCTTGAACTCAAGATCCTGAGGTTAAGACCTTAGCTAAAATCAAGTGTCTGATGCTTAACCGGCTAAGCCTCACCTCATCTCTATTCTTGAAATGAGATGGAGGGGAACCTGGGTGGCTCACTCCATTGAGGGTCTGCATTTGGCTTGGTCATGATGGGGTGGGGGTCCTGGGGTGGAGCCCCAAGTTGGGCTCCCCGCTCAGCAGAAAGCCTGCTTTCCCCCTCCCACTGCTACTCTCTCTGCTTGTACTCTTTCTCTTTCTGTCAAATAAATAAGTAAAATCTTAAATAAAATAAGATGAGGTGGAGCCAGCCATGCCAGGGGTGTGAGTGGATCTGCCTTAGTACACTTAGGTGGCACAATAAATAAAATGCTAGCAAACCAAACTAGGTCCATAAACATGTGTGAAGCACTTACCCTGGGCCAGCTCAGTCCAAGCTGTGAACATACTAAGGAAATGAGAAGCCTCAGCCCTTTTCTCTCATCCCAGTCTTGCACAGGAGCCAGACTTTTAAATTATTTCCATGCAGTGTGACCCTGAGCACAATCATAGAAAATTTGTGTATGATATATATTGAACCTCTTTCCATCTGCAGTTAAAGAGTCCCCCTGCCCCGCCCTCCGCTGCCAGTTTCTTTCAGACCTTCCTAAAATGAAGGGATTCCCTCTTTTAAAATCCTATACACAACAGGCAACTCCAAGTGAAGTCAGGGGCTGGGGGCCTTGAAGGCCTGCAGGAAATCAGCTGAGGTTTTTCACGGGTAGCTGGATCCCCACCAGACTAGACTAGACTAGACTAGACTGGGGCTCTGGTCTGGGTCTGCTCCGCAGGGTCCTTCCAGGCCTTAGGCTAGTAACTGTGTACTTAATAGGTCTTCAATAAACATTTGTTGGATAAAGAAATCTGCCCTGTTTGTAGGGGATAGTCTCTAGCATACTCTGGGGACTGGTCCAGAGGTATCAGGCCCACCCAGGGCTGGGGAAACTGAGTCGCCCACAGTTGCGATTTCTGCTTTGCCGCTGTCTCTTTCGCTGGGATGCATTTTAAAATATTATAATATTTTTTATTTTTTTAATATGTGAAACATTCACATAATTCTAAAAGCCAAAGTTATGCAAAAATGTGTATTCCAGGATGTGACCACCGCACCTTTACCCTTTCTAGTCTTATTCTCATGACCACTCCCCATCCTTCCCCGGTTCCTACACACTCACAGTCTCATCACTATATTCTTTTTGTGCTTGTTTCCCCCCATAGATGATCAGATACATGTATTTCGTTTTTAAAAAAAATTTCCCTTCTTTACCTGACATGGTGGCATAACACGGGTAGTCCTCCTTGTTGCTATGAGGTAGTGGCACTTAACAGGATTTTTGTTTTGATATTATG